ACTGACTTTAAGGCACTGTAGAAATGGACTTTGGCAATTGATTGAAACGCCGAAATGTCAGAGGGAGCTGAAGGGTGGGTTGGGAGTAGAGAGAAAGGCCGATGAATAGAAATGCTGCCGTGGCCTTCCGATGGCTTGGCGCCAAAGCCAAGCAGCGTAGACGTTCTTGGATAAAGAAGCCTACGTCGCGTAGGAGCAATTGAAAGAGAGCTGTTACACCGGTCGTTGCCTACAGACCCGAAGGAAAGCAGCGACTGCAATTTACCTGTTGGTGTGGTCTCAGTTGATGTAGCAGTGGAGGAAACAGTTGTCAGCGTGGTTTTTACGGTGCTTGGAGTGGTGGTCTCTGAGGTGGAGCTTTCCATTGAAGTAGTAGTCGGTTTTGTTGTTGTCGGAGTGAGGGTTGTGAGCGTAGTTGGTGTGGTGGTTGTGGTGGGTGTGGTAATGGTAGTGGAAACAGTAGGCGTTGACTTGGATGTTGTGGTCTCAGTTGAGCTAGTGGGCAAGGTAGATGTGGTGAGAGAGTGGGTTGTGGACATAGTTGGTGTGGCGGTTGTGGGGGTTGTGGTAATGGTAATGGAATCAGAAGGAATTGGCTTGGGTGTTGTGGTCTCAGTTGAACTAGCGGGCAAGGTAGATGTGGTAAGAGAGTGGGTTGTGGGTGTAGTGGGTGACGTGGATGTAGTAAAGCTTGTGGAAATAGTAGGAGTTGATTTGGATGTTGTGGTTTCTGTTGAGCTAGTGGGCAAGGTAGATGTGGTGAGAGAGTGGGTTGTGGACATAGTTGGTGTGGCGGTTGTGGGGGGTGTTGTAATGGTAACGGAAACGGTAGGAATTGGCTTGGGTGTTGTGGTCTCAGTTGAACTAGCGGGCAAGGTAGATGTGGTAAGAGAGTGGGTTGTGGGTGTAGTGGGTGACGTGGATGTAGTAAAGCTTGTGGAAATAGTAGGAGTTGATTTGGATGTTGTGGTTTCTGTTGAGCTAGTGGGCAAGGTAGATGTGGAGAGAGAGTGGGTTGTGGGTGTGGTGGGTGAGGTGGATGTAGTAAAGGTTGTGGAAACAGTAGGCCTTGTTGTGATTTCAGTTGTGCTAGTAGGCAAGGTGGTGGTGGTCAGAGTGAGGGTTGTGAGCGTAGTTGGTGTGGTGGGTGTGGTAACGGTAGTAGAAACGGTAGGAGTTGGCTTGGATGTCGTGCTCTCCGTTGAACTGGTGGACGAGGTGGTAGCGGTCACCGTGAGCGTTGTGGGAGTGGTCGTTGTGGCAGTTGTGATTGTTTCCGTAGAACTAGTGGAAAGTATGGTCGTTGACAGAGGTGTACTTGTTGATTTGATTTTTACTGAGGGGGGGCTAGACTCTGTAGACACAGTGGTTCTGGACGTTGTGGAGACAGGTGTGGTGGGAGTTGTTTTGCTGATACGTGGTGGTGGTGTCCTTTCTACAGTCTTTGTTACTGCAAGGGAGAAGTGTGAGTCGAGAGGGCGAAATTGAGAGGAGAGGTGCCTCCAGATTCAATGTGTTTGCAGTTCATAAATCATTTTTAAGAATTTTAAGCACTAGAGATTACTCATTAGTAATTTCTTAAAATATTCAATAATCACAATCCCACAGTAACTTTTTTTCGAATGTTTTGTGTCTTACTACGTAATACCAAGGTATTTTTCACGATTGCATCTTAAAGATTTTAGAGGAAGGTGAAATAATCTTACAAGGACAAGAATGTTTTAACTATTGAGAGTTAGAAGACAGTAACCTATATCTTAAAGATAAATGTAACTGTTACATCACATATTTATTTCCACTAACTACGGGACTAACACATTTATGGTTTATTAATTGTAGGGGTGATTCTAGTAGGCTCAAGTCCTGGTATGTAAAGATAAAAAAAAGTTACATTTGAGTGAAAACAAATTAAGAAGCTATTCCCAATAGAAGAGTTTACAGAATGAGCAAAAATTGAAACAATCAGCAAGACATCCCTTAAATGTTGAATTATTACATTTTTCATTGGCAATCTATTGCTGTAGACAATATTGAGGAAATCAGTACTTTGTTTTAATGGCCATCCTTTTGTAACATTTGTCAGTATGTTCATGTTTAAGGAGAACTTTATTTCTCAGGAATATGTACATATGGATTTTCTGCAGATGGTATAGTGCTAATAACTAGGAGCCTGTAGTGGTGATTGTTGTTTTATAAGTTTGAAATGGTCCAGTAATATCCATCATCTGAATGCATAATAACTTTTTTTGCATGTTTGATCCTATCTCTAATATTAACTTCCTATCTATTTTTTTCTCAGCTTGCCCATCACAGTGGTATGATGGGCATCACTTAATAAAGATTTGAAAAATAGTAAAAAGCATGTAGGTGAGGAAAAGGAACTTGTTAGATAAAGTTTAGTTACTGGATTCTATCCAATGCCAGAAGTTAACTCACTGTTGGAAAGAAAAGGTGTCAGGGAGCCAGTTATTTTCAGGAGTACTGAGATACTATAAAATGCTCAAGCTTATACATTTCATCACAACTATTAAAATCAACAAGAGCATTCCAGCTGCTATTTAAGTCACAGTGCTTCATAGCCTGATATTTTTTAGTCACCTTTAACTACCCATATGATGTCAAGTTAGCAGTAGAACAACCCAATTGTTCCAGGGGGGCATTGTGTTTGGATCAATAGTCATTTTTAACCAATTGTTATTAAGAAAAAACCTCTCCTTCAAAATATTAGCTTAAACTTTTGCAGAGAAACAGGGTGACTATATGAATTTCTACTTACCGCAAGATTTACACTGTCCTTCCTCATGATCAAAGTATTCATTATGTGAGCAGTTGTAACAGCCTGGAGAGGGGGGAGAGAAGTATGTTATTCATTCCTCAGATTATAAGTATTTCCTATAATCTTTCTTCTAAATATGTAGTTACCTGCATATTATAATATGAAGTTAACAGAAGATGAAAAGTGATGTCTGTCATTTTAACCCGTGACAGCTTCAAAATTCCTTAAAGAAATTTCTCTTCATATGGTAAAAATCAGAAGCTTCAAATTTAAAACAGGCTGAGCTCATTAAAGCGCTCAGTATACGATGGATTATGTCAGTTATTTATCATTGTGATAGTAGTAGTAGAAGGTAAAGATGAACATAATACAGTAAAACTATGTAATCACTGCTTCAGAAATTATGACACTGGAAACATCATTGTCTTAACCACTGGTTAATATAATAAAAATAACTATTCTGTTATTATTTTCAGCTTTGTAAAGTTATTGTGAGAATTACAACCACATACAATATTTTTGGGGACCATGTTATATTAAGTTTATGAATGGCCTATATCCCATTGTAATCTAGGGTTTGTATGTAACTCCAGATGTAACACAACTCCTTCTCCAGAATCAGAAACAATGAGCTGTGTTTAAGGTGAATCACACAGGTTGTTAAAACCTCCGGAGAGGTACCACACCCAGGTGAACTTTCATATTCGGGTTCAAACTGTGTTTTTCAGAGACTGCTTGACAGGACTTCTGGTATAAAATGTCTAACACAGGACTGCCTTCTGATTCAGAAAATGGACAGGACCCTTGTGGAAGAGTTGGAAGAATTTTGTCTTACTAGGACCTTGAAGGCTGATGGGTGATTTCCAAGAAGCTTTTAGCATGCATATTGGAACTTTTATTGCTTTATGTGTTTTCTCTGTAATGCTTTTATCCTAAGAACACATTATTTGGCTTTTGAGAAGGCTTAATGGTAATTGGTATATACTCTTGTATCCCCTGGAGCAGTGTTTCTTAAACTTTTTGACACCACGAAACACCAAAGAATAATATTTTTTTATGTGGAACACCTATGAAAATTGTCTTAAAAAAATTGTTGTCTCACAAAAAAAAAGACAAAAACAAAGAAGAGGTTGAGGCACACCTGCGAGTTGTTCATGGAACTCCAGTGTTCCGCGGAACATAGTTTAAGAAGCGCTGCCCTAGAGGATCGTTATCCACAGGTACAGGACCCTGGTCTGACCTGATGAGGAAATCGCAGTGAAATGCAAAGGGACTGCAAGCCTAAACCCCCAGTCTAGCAGGAGACAGACATAGATCTCTACCTGAAAGGTGTGATGACAAGGAGCTTGAAGCCATGAGTGAGTGTCCTTGAGGAAGACTTGGGGTGGGAGTATAGTCAAAACTATAGTTAGCCCTGAAACTGTGAAATAATTACCTTCAATGTTGACATATTTGTAGTTCTGGTTTGGGCAATTACAGGGTCGGTAATGCCAGGTGCAATTTTGTTCATTCCAGTAATTGTAGCTGTAGGTGCCCTCACTGCCTGCCTTTTGGTGTGTGTTGAAGAAGTCACAATAGACAGCTGAAAAAAGCAAAAACAAAAGAAAAGGTTGAAATTTTCAATTTCAATTTGAGGAAAATAGTTCCTCAAAAGATTCAGAATAGGGGGAAGAAAGTCACTCAGTAGTACTTGGTAACTCATTGTAAACTCCCCGACCTCGACTCTGGGTGAAATGATTTGAATTTGTCTTCTAATAAGATGACTTAATTTCTTTCTTTCATAAGAAAAGGGGTAAAGGTATTTAGATATTTGTAATATATAATATACCAATGTACTGAATAGAAGCTATCAAGAACTATTGCTTTAAAGGTTTGTTTATAATGCTCTGTGAAACCAGTATATAACATTTATTCTAGATAGCAACTATAGATAATTTTTCTTTTTTTATGGAGCGCCAGTCAACATGCTTTCTCTGTTTATTTCTTTGTAATTTCATCTCAACTATGGGAAAAGATTGATGTTGGGGTTTTTTTGTAAACAACTTTGTGTTCCCTCTACTGCAGGGATGGGCAATAAGTGGCTTATGGGCCAGACAAGGTTCTTCAGGGTTAGCCCCTAGAGGGATGCTAATACTTTATTTACTGTGCATCCACAGGTATGGCCACTTGCAGCTCCTATGGATTATGGACACTGTTCCCGGACAATGGAGCTGCAGGAAGCCGTGTTCCAGTCTGCACTGCTTCCTGCAGCTCCCAGTGTCTGGGAAAGAGCGATGTGTAGCCAATAGGAGTTGCAAGTGGCTGTACTTGCAGATGCACAGGTGAATGAAGCATCTGGTTGGCCTACCAGGGACTAAGTGTGGTGAATCACCTCTGGCTTATTGCCCACCCCTGCTCTATTAGTTAGATGGCTGTCAGTTCTGCAGTAGCAACAAGGGAAATATATTGCCAGATTAGTATTTGTGACTGCTTGTTTTTTCTCCATTTCTTTGACGCAGTAATGTGTTTTTAGTGAATTTGGAGCTCATGAAATATGCAAGGTTAACTGTACTAGAGAATGAAACTATACACGTATCTAGAATCAGGGCTGGAGACAGACTTTGCCAGGCCCTAGGCCAGGGGTGGTCAAATAGCAGCCTGCAGGCTGGATTCAGTCTGCCAGGATTGGCCCCAGGCAGGCCCCCACACCGCTATCTTTATCTGCATCTCTGCAAGTATGTGGGATCACAGCTCCCATTGACTGCAGAGAGCCATTCCTGGCCAATGGGAGCTTTGATTGTCTGTACCTGAGACTGGATATGTAAATATATTGGCAGCAGCCCACCAGTAGCTAACCCTGGTGAACTGCTACTGTTTTATTGCCTGCCCCTGCCGTAGGCAATGGGAGGGGGGCAGAGTTAGGGACAGCCAGCACTCAGTGCCACTTGGACTGTTTTGCACAGGGCTCTGTCCACCACTGATGCCATGGTAGTGACAGCAGTGGCCTGGAGCACCAGGCTCTTTTAAACCACTGGACCTTAGGGCAACTTCCTCCTTTGTGTCCACCTTCTCCCATCAGCAGCCCTGTCTAGAGCACAGATACAATATTGGAAAATGGCTATACAAGCAATCCCCCATGCTGCTCCATCAGTGCACCTTGACATAATAATAAATAATAAATAATAATAATAATAATAAATGTGTCCCTTAAACGCCTTTATAGTTGGGCAAAGTATAAAATGAAATGAAAAGAAAAGCTAGAAATAAAAATCACAGATGTTATTTTTTAAAGGTGGTCAAGAAACTTACGACAGAAGTCTGGGGTTCTCCAGTCAATGCAGACACCTACATCTAAGCACGCCTTGGCGTACACTGCAATGGCATCACACATGCATTCACAATCTCCTCCGGTGTCACACCCACAGGAATCTCGGACACAGGCTTCATAATACTGTGCCTGGTATACCTTTGGTGGAGAGAGAAGGAATAAATTAATTAACCAGGAATTTCTTGTATTCATGTGTTGGTCAATAAAGTGTTTTTCTTGTTTCTAGCTGGGCCAAGCCATACAAGTTAGCTCAAGGTGAAAGGAGAACATTCAGAACTCTGCTAAGTTATGAGTATCAATTATACCTCTACTTGTGTAGTAAAATAAGCACAGCAATCGTACAATTCTGATTCAAATGGTTATCTTTTGTAAAAGCAGAGGCACTGCAAAATATTAATGGAAAATTATGACATTTGAAGGATGTGCACAATATTTATGGTGAGGCAGGTCAAAGAATATATTTCATGCATGTAGCATGAATACATCTTGTGGAAGAGGAAGTGTTGAAGTGTGAGTGGATCATCCTTGGAAGAATATAGAATAAGTGTAAACAAGGCCAAAAACTTGCTTACCTTACTGTGACAGGGAGCAAACACCTGGCTGTTGATGATGGAACACTTCCTCTGTGCCCAAGCTTTACGATAAGGGTTCTTGCTACAGGGATCAACTATAAATAACACATCCCCACACAGAGGATTTTCCTTCCACGAATTTACAAACTCCAGTTCATTTGCTGCCACGTATTTGCTTCGGGTTTCAAAGTCATCTTTCATGTTCCCATTGTAATTCCCACACAAACCACAGAGATGATTCTAGCGGAAGAAACGACAGCATTAATATTAGATCATCCCCATTTGCTAATTACAACCAATTGCCCGAATTCTCCTTTTTATCTGCATTACTTCCTCTGAAGTACTGTGCCTGAAGTACTGTGCCTCATAGTTTGTTTCTTATAGATGGGGCCTTTCTCGTTAAATGAACAATGTAAGGAAATAGTGGTGTGCTTCCTCTATAATGTTCACACCCACAGATATTATTTGCTCCTTAAAAGGTCAAAATCAATCAAAATGTCCTGTACGAATTTTCCTGTCATGTTGATTAATGAAAGAATGTGCTGTCATTTGGATAGCATATTAGCTATCAACCCAAAGATTCATGTTGTTGTGAAGTTGGGAATCAGATAAAAGCATCCTTCACTGAAGATCTCAGGAGGAATGGGAGTTATGAGTGACCTTTCTAGAAGACCCCTGCTCCTGAAGAAAATTGCAATTGTTCTTTCATATGCAGTTTGATTTGAATGTGGGGATGAATGTACTTAAAAAAGAAAGTTAAGGAAAGTTTATCAGGAAGTTACTCTGAATTACCTGTGCTTCTCTGAAGATCTTGATGAAAACATTCATGTGCTTGTTCCAGATAAGAGTCATGTTGTATTTTCCTGGGATAATGATATCGAACATCAGGTGAAGGGCATTCTTTTTCACGTGGAATTGTGTCAGAGGATTTTCCCCATATACAGAGTAGGTTTCATCTGCCAGTATAACTGTCATGTTCTGAAAGCAAATTGGCCTGTAAGTTATAATATTGCTCTCAGTATGTCTCAGATTGTTCTATCTTTATGTCATTACTAGGACTCACTAAAGGGTTCTGCTACAGATTGTCTTTTCTCTGTTTAGCTGAATCTGTTGTGGTTAGATCTTGGAGAATTATTTGTCAGGTGAGTCACAGTTCTTAGATGATGAGCATCTCTGCCTGAGATCTGGTCTACACTAGAGACCTATATCAGTATGTGATGACACAGTCGGGGTTCCCCCGATCCTCCACCCCCATAGCAGCAAGAACAGAATCCGCCAGCAGTAGAATAGCGAGGTTTTATTACTCCTTCAGGATACAGCACAGCATAGATGTGGTGTGTTGACAGGATTCAGGGCCAGAGTGTTTCGGACCCCTTGGCTTAGGGGTCCATTACCCCTAGCCCTCAGCCCCAGCAACCTCAGTCTGTCTCCCTCATGGTTCCAGCCCCAGGCTGACCTTTTCCCCAGCACACACTTCCTTTGTCCTGTCTCTTCCCTTAACCAGTAGAACCGGTTTGGCCACTGTCCTGAGGTCCCTTTTGCTGGGATGTGCTTATAGACAACCGCCAGTGGGTGTCCTCCACAGCCTACCGCCCAAGCATAGCAACCAGGAAGGTACTCACACTACACCGCACAGTATAACTATATTACTCAGCGGTGTGAAAAATCCACATCCCAAGTGACATATTTAGACTGACCTATCCCCATGTGTAGACAGCGCTGAATCAATGAGACAGCTTTTCCCCTCGACATAGTTACTGCCTCTCAGGGAGATGAATTAACTCCCCTAATGGGAGAGTTCTCTCACATCGGTATAGATCATCTTCATTGAAGCGCTACAGCAGTGCAGATACAGCTATGTCCATATGATGTTTTAAGTGTAGACTTGTCTTCATGAGTGTCTATCTCTCAACATAATTTCTGAGGTGTAAATGTAGTCTGTTATGATTTTGTATGAAAACAAAGTGCATGAATCCAAAACATTATTCTCTTCTTTCATTTGCACCTATCCCATGCAAAGATAAAACCTAGTCTGCCCCCAGCTGCCTGGATTTGTTTTATGAGTATGCAAATTTTGATGAAGAACATGAAGGAAACTCATCACGTTTCGTGGTCAGTTTAGGGTGCAGCAGCTCTTTGTAATGGACTGTTTTGTTGTCTATATCACTGACATCGCCCTTGTATTATTTGTGTGCAGTTAGCTGAAGCACACAGTTTTATTTCCATTATTTTAAATGAGTAGATGCAAAGTCACCTAGAGAAATGGTAGCTCACATTGACTTGATCAGTTCTACTTTTCATTCATCCCTGTACCTTTACTTATTTCCTGAGAGCAGAGGTGCACAACAACAGTTATCTTTGGAAAGCAGTGCTCCTCTGGAGCAAGTAGTTAGGAGTTAGATGCAAAAGAAGCTACTGCTAGCTTCTTCAGTAAAGCCTTGCTGTTGCTCATTAACAAGCTGGCAAGTGTGTACTGTAGGGAGTAATAGTCCCCTGGTCAAGAATGCCACTGTTGTCTGTGGTCCTTGTTTGATTTTCTGTTGAAGCGTGACTCTGGGGTAATCTGATATTGCTGTACTTTTGGCTCCCTCAGGACTCAGAACCAAATGTCAAGAGAGGATGGAACTTCTCAGGTCACAAAGGAAATTTTAGTCACTTTTTCTTGTATACATGTGCATCAACAATGAGTTATTAGAGGAACTAGAGGCAGTTGGAGACTGGATTAGAGTCACATTTCCTGTCCATGATGTGACTTCCTTAATGTCATACAACTGCCTTCTTGGTTTCATTCTATGCCCCATAGTTAATACTCTTCTCCAACGTGAAGACAAATTCCAAGGCTTTACTCTCATGACTTCTAGAGAGGCCATAACTCTGGGGACTGTAAGACTGTGATAGGGATTTCAAACTGAGATATTATGTTTACAAACAACTTCAAAATTCTAGATCATCAAGTAGACTGTCCAATAGGACTTGACCATAGATGCCTACACTGATAATGAAGTTTGACCTGGATGGATAACAGCAGCATTAATGTTCTTACCCCAAGTTGGATCTTGATGGATCTGGAGCAGGTGACTCCTGATTTACCACAGATGACATTCTCAGTCACAATTTTAAAGGTGGAATGAGAGCTATTCATACCACAGCCATCCTAAAGAAGAGAAGTAAGAATTGCTTAACCCTTTGAGAAGTTAAAGTAACAGAGTGAACAAGAAGATGCAGTGTGCTGGGTTATCACTTCAGGGTGTTTGCCTCTCCACATAAAAGTCTCAAACGATATCTCCACTCACTTTGTTACAAGGTCTAATCCTAACTCTGACTGACTTCAAATCCAATTACCAGAGATCAGTGAAATCACTGCAGGGGAATTTATGTACATTCATTCCTCAGCAGCTGGGGTATTCAAACTACTGATTGAGTGTTAAGAATTACATTGCTTTACTAGAAAACACCAGCTCGTTTGTGCAATGTATGTGGATAGGTCATCCACAGACACTCAAGTGTGTTAGATGTTATGAAAGATCCTAAGATTTCTTATACAATAAAACTCCATTGCTCCGGCATCCAATGCTCCGGCACTCCTGATGGTCTGGCACCATAGGGAACCCAGAAGTGCTCCAGGCAGCCGGACAATTGGAGCTGCTCTGCGCCCGGCTTCCCCGATTCAGCCACTGCTGAAACTGACCAGCAGCTGAATCAGGGAAGCCGGGGTGCAGAGCAGCTGGGGTGCTGCCGGGTTGGTCCTATAGCGCTGCCCCTCGGGGCTTCAGGACCAACCTGGCAGCACCCTAGCTGCCAGGCGTCCCCAAGAGCAGCTAGGGTGCTGCCAGGTTGGTCCCACAGTGCCGAGGAGCAGCCCTGCTGCTCTGTCCCAGGCGTCCCCAAGAGCAGCTGGGGTGCTGCTGGGTTTGTCTGGTTGCACCACCCCTCGGCGCTGTGAGACAAACCCAGCAGCACCCCAGCTGCTCTGCCGCAGGTGTCCCTGATTCAGCTGCTGCTGAAACTGACCAGCAGCGGCTGAATCGGGGATGCCTGGGGCAGAGCCGGACTATCGAAAGGAGGGGCTAGGAGGGGTGTGGGGGGGCATCCCTCCACCCCACCCCAGAGCCCTCATAGCCCCCCCTTCCGATAGTCCGGCGTATCTGATAATCCGGCACCCCCCGGGTCCTAAAGGTGCCGGATTATCTGAAGTTTACTGTAACATGTTTGATTGGTGTTTTTGTTGTTGTTGTTTGTTTTTGTATGTGTGACAGCTTTTGAGCTGAGGTATTGAAATGAGCACTAAATATGTCAGAGTTCATATTGTCCTGGTACATATGGTATCTTTTTAGGGTATTTCTATAACCCGCAGTTTAAATCAAGCCATTTCCCGGCTATCAGTACTTTGCCATCAGAAGCAGTAACACTGACATTACCGTAGCAAGGGTGTATTCACAGTTGCCATCAAATACAAAGCGCTGTCCATCAAAAGTGGTGACATGTCCTTCGCCATAGAGGGTACACGTTGAGGAGCATCTAGATTTCTGAACACATTTCCATTTTCCTCTTGTGCAGGTGCTAGTGGTGAGAAGAAAATTCTTGTTAGGAAGATTTCGAAGACATGCTGCTTTAACTCATCTCTGCAGATACATATTTTGTGTACATACTGTATTAACTACATTGACCTAGTTTATATATGCAGTGTGGTCAAATTATGACTAAAATGGCAACTGTAACTTCAAAATTTCTTCACTTTTGTGAAAATTAGTGCACGCTAAAGATGAAGTATATTTTCCCATAATTTACCTTAAAAAGAGAAAAAACATGAGGCAATTACAGGTTACTTTGCCTTGAGTAAACAGCAGACACTAGCTCTTTTTGTTGTCACTAAAGCAGATTTGCTGCCCTTTTTAGGTTATTTTAATAAGAAGGTAGAACTGGAAATGGAGCAACTGCTGTTGCTCATTAACTCATGTTAATGAGTCAGTTGATCTTTCTAGGGAGAGGATGCAGATTGTGCTTGCACCTTCAGTTATGTGGAATTGATCCACTTTTCTAGTATGGCTTATAGTTTGAAGGTGCTCTTGGATCCCCCACTGCTTCTGAAGGTCAGATAGCAGCAACTATCCTTAAAGCTTTATCCTTTTTGTGGCTGATGAGGAGACTACAACGTTTCCTGTCAAATATAGACATTGTCACATTTATCCATGGCTCTATCACCTCCATGTTTTATCACTATGGCAGCATTTATTTAACGCTGACCCTCAACTGCTGCTGATCCTTCTCCTTGAAACCATACTGTTGCACTGTGTAATTGTGCAGGCTAGACAAATAGAAAACTGGCAAAGAGTATGTCTAAACTATGTTCTATTTTGGAAAGAAGATTTTCTTCTGATCTCACTTTCGAAAGCAGAGCTTTTGAAAGTGAAACTAGTCTGGACACGGGTTTTTTTGGGGAAAAAACCCCTTTTTCGAAAAAACCGTGTAAAACTCATTTTTTGAGGAATAGTGGTTTTTTTTTTTAATTTTTTTTTTTTTTTTTTAAACGTGTCCAGACTAGTTGCTTTTCCTGGTTCGGAAGAAGATATGCAAGTTCCCGCAGAATTTGCATATCCTCTTTTGAAAATAGAGCGTAGTCTAGACATAACGAAAGAGAAAACTTGTAGAGTCTTACCAGCTTTTGCATTCGGTGTGGATTTCTTCTCCTTTTTTATAAGAGATGCCCCCATATTCACAAGGACACTTATCTGGTGGTACACACATTCCATCTAGATTTTCATATAGCCCATCAGCGCAGATACAGCCTGATTCACACTTAGTGGGTACCTGGAGTAGACCAGAAAAGTGCAACATGAGTCATAAAAAATGATGCATGAAGGAAATGAATGTAAAAAGAATGGACTAAAATATTTTGTTTTTGTTTGACCTATAATCTCTCTTCAATTTTGCTCTGTGTGATTTATTTAGTGCCAAGAGTCAGCCAAATCACTTTTACCTGTGCACTAGTTTAACTGCAGCTGTAAAATTTAGCTAATGTCTATGTCAATAAGCTATTTCATGGGTACCAACTTCTCAGACAATTGGAGAATAATATGTGTGTCTTTACAGCCTAGAAATCTGTTAGATTATAATTCTGCTAATTGATCTGTTTCTTTATTTACTAAGAATTCTTTATTACATCATTATATATATAAATTGATATATACTGTGACTTATAATTCTTTTCCTGTAATCAATCAGCATTTGATTCACTCAACATTTTTTAAAAATGGATCTATTTCTTGATATAATCTTTTATTGTTTGTCATGGAAATCTACAGGGTAGATTATTAAATAAGTATTGCAGTTTTCATGAAGATTCACTGTCACACCATTATCAATTGATAGCTCTTATATGGCCTCCAGTACTATGGTATTTGAATACCTATCTGAAATATATTTATCCTCAGAACACTTCTATGACTTAGGCAAGTACTACTACCGAGGAGGAACTGAGAAACAGAGAGCGTGTCAGATTTTTTAAGGCATTTAGGTGCCTTGTGCAATTTTCAAAACTAATTGATTTTAATGGGTATTAGGCTCCTAGATGCTTTTGACAATTCTCTTATGGATCTAAATGTATTTAAAAATCTAGCACTAGGAAACTTGCCCAAGACAGCATAGGAAGTCTGTGACAGAGAAATGAATTGAATGTGGGTCTTCCCAAGCCCCAAAATTGCTTCACCCTTCCTCTCACTGTACGTTTCCATTACAGAGATGTGATCATAGAAATGTGGAACTCACACATTTAATTCCAGTGGCCAGCATCTGACAGGTAGGGGAACAGGCGGCTCCATATTTGTTATCTGAACGCTGTGAACATGACACATATTTTTTAGGAGGCTTGCAGTTTTCTAGTGAGGAAAAAAAGAGAAACGGGAAGTTATGAGGGGATAATTCTGTAATATGGGAACAGGCCCACCGATGGGAGGAGGCAAAGCAGGCAAATGCCCCAGAGCCCATGGTTCGAAAGAACCACTGCAGCAGCAGCAGTTGGAACTCTGGGCCCTTTAAATCACTGCCAGAGACCTGGGTGGCACTAAGGGCTGACTGAATATGGGGACGCAGCATAATCCAGGTGGCACTGAGAGCTGGCTGCCTCCCTTCTGCCTGAGGTGCCTTCTCTTTCAGAAATGTGGAGCAGGACTCCCCCACACACACCTTGCCCAGGAGCCTGGCAATTCTGTCCCCTCCCCTCTTTGCATGGGAATAATAAAGCTTTTGAAGGTGAAAGTAAACTGTACCCAAATACATACCTGCAGGGTCTTGAGGTCTGCCAGTGCAACTCAGGTTTCCATTAACACAGTAGCTAGAAAATAAAAGAGAATTTCATGGCCCATCCCTTATGGGACAGTTAACACTCAAGTTGTTCGATGGTTTTAATTTTTTCTTTTTGAATGTGATCTCCTCCTAAGAAAACAATGTTCAAGCTTTTTGTCAAATAACTTCACACTTTTGCAAGAAGCAAACACCAGCTGTGCCTCTTGCTCCTCCCAGTTCCTCCAAAATGAAATACAAGTCAACATGCTTTCTCTTTGGACTGCAACAATACAATCAACAATGTCAGTTGTGTATGCAATTTATTTAGGTGTTGGCAGAGCACCAACCTAATTCTTATACCTCCTAGTGCTTCTCTAGCATTACCAGAGAAGACTAGATTTTATCTGCCTAATATTGCCAGGGTAAAAGAGAACAAAACAATTTTAAAAACCCACCTTTTCGATCCCTGTTTCCAAACATGTGAACAAACACCCTTCCCTTTGCTTTATGTTCATTTAATTTAACTCTCAAACTTACCAGGTAATACCACCAATTATGGTTGACTGGTCAGGCAGAATGAACCTCTTATCTTCTAGGTAGCAGGGACACATGGATTTACGAACACATTCACTTCTGTGGTTCAAGTAGGTACCCTTGGGACAGTTGCAGCCATCAATAGGGATGTCAGTAGGATAACATTCCAAAGCTTGGTTGGAAAGTGACAGGCATGTCCTATCACAGGCTTCAGTGTGGTAGCTGAATGTCTGATTGCCAGTACAGGAAATGGCTGTAAAATGAAGACAAGAACGGGAGTTGTACTTTATTTCCCTGATCTTCCCCAGAGTGGTGCCGGAGCCAGGGGAACGTGCTTCATTATATAAGGCCAACAATTTCATTGTCAACTGTTTTCTCTTGCTTCCCTCTCTGAATGTACAACCAATCAAAGCACAGTTCCTCAGTAAGCTATGCTGCCAGCAGAGTCTCTGGGAGTAGAGTAGTCTCTGCAGCCCATTCTTGTAAAAACCTCAGGATCTGAAGGATTTCCCTGAGATGTAAAACCAGCTGACCTTCTGTGTGATTCGCCAGGATGGTGATTATGGGGTTGTGTGTATTGAAGCACTCATAGTTGTATGAGAGACTTTTGCATCTTTGTGCTTCTTCCTTTTGAGTAGGTGATAACGCTCTGAGAACATGCCACTGTTTTGCATATTTTGCATTTACAGTCCTTCTGAAATCAAGCCACTGCTAAAATGCAAATTCAGTAGAAGTGTGGTGAGGCAGCTGCCCCACATTGACTGGAAAGGGTTAAAGCTGGCTGGAGGGGGGGGCATGCACAGCCCTGGCTAATCAGGGAGAAGTTTTTAAGGAGCTAATCAGGGTGTAGCTTGTTGAGGCAGCCCTGTATAAAAGAAGCTGCTCAGCAGAGAGGGGCAGTTAGGTCCTGACAAGAGAAGGTACAGGACTGGTTTCCTCAGAGAAAGCACCTTTAATAGAGCAGTGCAGAGCAGGCTGAGAGGGGCTCAAGAGAAATGCTCTAGCCTAATACCTGCCAGGCTGCAGGCCTTGCTAGAAGAGTTAGGAGGGTGCAAAAGTCACAGGTAAAGTGGCCTAGGAAAATAGAGGCAGTAGAGGGAGGGCAGGACAAGGCTGCCACTGGAGGGTCCCTGGGTTGAAACGCAGAGTAGCGGGCAGGAGTGGGTTTCCCTTGCCCCCTTGCAGCACACCTTGCTATCAAGGCATGGCCTATACAGACTGTGGCTTGCCCATGAGTTAAGGGGCTGGACATTAGAGTCACAATTGGCCACAGTGGCGGGTAGAACTGAGAACTGCTGATATCACCCTGGGAAGAAGGTGTGGCCCATACAGACTGTGGCTTGCTACTGAGACAGAGGGGATAGTCTTGGAGGCCACAGTTGGCCACAGTGGCAGTAGAGACTCAGGACTGCTGATGCACCCCCAAAAGGGAGATGAGAGAACACTGGAGTAATGCACTGCTGGAGGCCAACGTACTGCAGAGGACGCCAGGGTCTGGGAGCGATTCAGGTCTAAGACACAAGTGTGGATCACAGATGGGTGAGAGACTGTCAGAAGGGGACACCCTGCTGAGAAAGGACTAATTCCTCAGAGTTACCAGCATGTGGTGCTGCAATGGTGAGTTCCCGCCCCATGACAAGAAGTATCTACAACAGTGATTTTTTGTGTGCCTGAAACTACTTCATGATGATGACATTTTGGTAGATTACAGAGAATTTTGGAATTGGTCTCAACTCAGGAAAGGTCAGCACAGGCCAATTTTATCCCACATCAAACAATGGAATTTTCCAAATGGAAGTATGGTTTTCTGATTTCTCTAGGTAATGGCAATGGAATATATACATCTGATTACAAACTTTTAAGAGCCAGACGGGGCTCACTTACTGCAGTTGTCCATAGCATCCCTCCAGTTTATGAGGATCAGTCCCATTGAAGCACACACTCTTGCATAAGATCCCAGGGTGGAGCAAATATAAGGAAAGGTCTCCTCATAGTTACAGGCTTGGTAGACGCATCTCTGAAAGCAAACATACAGAGTATTGTTAGGTCAGATGTTTGAAGTGATCAGCATGCTAAGAAATCAGAAATGGAAAATAATATAATTCACAGACTACAAGTAAGAAGTGCAAATGAATATATCTGTCTGATGTACATAAAAATAAACTTAGCACTTTAACTTTTACATTTCTTTTCATCTGTAGATTTCAAAATGTTCACAAAGCTGAACGAGTATCATTACCTCTATTTTACGATAGGAAAACTATGCTCAAAAGGGTTAAGTAACCTCAAATATGTCTGCTTGGGGAAATTTCTTGGGAAATACTCAACTCCTTAGCAGTGTGAAAAAAAACCCCTATCCTCTTGTTCCAAGTACCTAGGAGACAGCAGTCTCTGATCATACCAGACTTTGCCTGTCTAAGGAGAGAGGTGTTTTTAAATGATTCTTGGTCCAAAGCCCCTCTTGTGTTTCCAAACAATGTAGTATTTCTCACTGCCTCACCTCAGGACCTTAGCAGAAGTTCCTACCTTGTAAAAAGGAGCAGGATTCACCACAGAGTGGCATTTCTCAAACACTGTGCCCTTCTTAGTAAGAATGGAGCAATGGGTCTCTGCAGACATTTCTAAATGAGAGAAACAGTCATGGATGTTAAGAAACAGAGGTATAAAGAAGAAAAAGAAGGCAGAATTTATGTCTTATTTTAATTTACTGAGAAGGTAATACTGGTTGTCAGTCATATCACTGGAAAGCCAGAGACTTAAGATCTCAAAGGACTTCATGATATCAGGGGAGTACTAATGGAAGTCCTCCAATTTATCAAGGATACTTCAAACCCCCATTCAGATCTTTAGAGAGGGATCTTATAGATTGGTTTAGTAAAATTATAGTCTACAAATCTACATCTTCCTCTAGAAGAAGGAATCAGTGATGTATAGTCTTCTTCTTCTCCCTTAAACTCTATTCCCTGTGGATGAAGTTTTAGTATTCACTCAGAAAGAGGTAGCCAAATTGGCTGGTCTGATAGGTCTGGGTATCCTACTTACTGTTCAATTGACTCATAGAGCAAGGATCGGTGTCCCTATCCGCTGTGGGGTGACAGTTCCCTGCTCTCCAAGAGTCCACAAACAGTGCTGCTGTTCCTTCAATAATATCCATGCTGGTCATGAAGTCGTCTGTAGTGTCCCCATTGTAATTGCCACACAACCCTGATCACATATGGAACACAAGGGATAAGTGAAAAACAAGGAACATTTATACACTTACGATGTGTTATTGCTGAATAGTAATAATAAAATGTCAGTAATTATAACTGGAGTAGTAATGACTATTATAGATTAACTGGGTTAAGCATTTCTGTTATACATTTCTGTTTTCAGTTACTCATAATTTTGCCTCTGTCGCTTGGTAAGTTAAAATTCACGAACTCTGTTCACTTCCCTCAGGTGAATTTGCATGGAAAGGTTTTTTGGAAGAAAATCACTTAGCTCTTTTAAAACATGAAAATAAAATTAGAAAATATTCTCCCAATTAAAAAAAAAAGTTATGACTTTTAAAAATTGCTGTAACACCAAAGCAATTAGAATATGACATGGAAAATAGGCCTCTCTGAGAAGTGGTATTGATCGTTCCAGTAAAAGTTAGCCTTGATTTGGCTGTGTTATGAGAGCTTGAAGAAATTGATCTTCCAGCACATGAAGTAATCTGGCACTGGTTACAGCACTCTAAACAAAAGGAGGTTGTGCAGAGTATGCATTTTTGGTTAAACCTGCCAAAACACAGTAAACACATTTATCCCCTAATATGACCACTTATTAAGAGATTGGATTCTTGTATAATTGGTGTGATCTTCGAAGGTGCACATTGAATTAGGTTGGGTTATGTAGGTGCCCTGATTCATCTGATGTGTAGTAAAGTATACAGATAGTCCCCGACTTACGAACGAGTTACATACCGAACACTTGGTCGTAACTTGATCTGTTCGTAAGTCAGACTCCATTCATTTAAATGTGACCACGCTGTTCATGAGTGTGGATCACACGTTTGTAACTCGGGGACTGACTGTAATGTGCTTAATGGGAGGTTGGTCGTAAGTATGAACGGTTGTAAGTTGATGCGTTTGTAACTTGGGGACCACCTGTATGTTGAATGAGGCAGGGCTTTACCGGCCCTCTTGCCTTTTTCAAAGCATACCTTATAGAAGATAGGTTGGGAAAACAATGTTATTACAAAATAGCACAGATGCTATGCCTACTCTGTGCTACTTCTAATTCTATCAACTTTTTTATTAAAGTTGCTGGGGAAAAAAATCTTATCAACACACAGTAGCTTGCCATTGTAGCTTTTTAGAACTGACTATTAAAAGGCATAATTTCACCGCTTCCTTCCTTCATAATCAGATGTGGAGGAGACCGGATTTCTTACCTAGGGTTCTGCCTTTGAAGAGAAGTCCAACTTTTATATAGACATGGAACACTGGCCACAGTTGAGCTATTAGCTCCACCCCAAAGGTTGTATACATTTGAATGTGGGTGGAGGACTGTCTGAAAATGGTGATGTCACCTAAAATAAATTAGATGATTTAAAATAATTAATTTGACTTATCTACTTATTTAAAAAAATCTGTTCATGTATATATGTTTCCTTCACATGTGCCACTGCACATTTGGGGTACGTCTAAACTACATGCCTCCGTCGACGGAGGCATGTAGATTAGCCAGATCGGCAGAGGGAAATGAAGCCGCGATTAAAATAATCGCGGCTTCATTTAAATTTAAATGGCTGCCCCGCTCTGCCGATCAGCTGTTTGTCGGCAGAGCGGGGCAGTCTGGATGCGCCGCGTCGACAAAGAAGCCTTTCTTGATCGGCACAGGTATGCCTCGTGAAACCAGGTTTACCTGTGCTGATCAAGAAAGGCTTCTTTGTCGACGCGGCGCCTCCAGACTGCCCCGATCTGCCGACAAACAGCTGATCGGCAGAGCGGGGCAGCCATTTAAATTTAAATGAAGCCGCGATTATTTTAATCGCGGCTTCATTTCCCTCTGCCGATCTGGCTAATCTACATGCCTCTGTCGACAGAGGCATGTAGTCTAGACACACCCTTGGGTAAGTGCATTATGCATTGCCAGAAGAAGGATGCTGGATAAGATGAATTACATTTCTAATCCAGTCTTACACATTGTGGTCTCCCTTGCTTTTACCTGAGCTGAAAGGTAGGTGCTTGAGTTCATCATCCATGAGAAGCTCATTTTGAGAAATCATAATTTTGTCCTGTGAAGAAGAGGGCATCAGAGTCAGAGAATCACAGAAAGGTAGGGTTGGAAGGGACCTTGAGAGGTCATTTAGTCCATCTTAACCAGACCATTCAACGCAGGGTTTGTCCACCCCATTCTTTAAAATCTCCAGTTATAGGGGTTTCACAACCTCCTTTGCTAAACTATTCCAGTATTTAACTATTTTTGTATTTAAAGTTTTTCCTAATTATAGATTCATAGAATACTAGAATTAGAAGGGATCTTAGGAGGTCACTGAGTCCAATCCTCTGTCCTCACAGTTGGACTAAGCACGGCCTAGATCCCTGATAGTTGTCTATCCAACCTGCTCTTAAATATCTCCAGTGCTGAAAATTCCAGTCTCCCTTGGCAATTTATTCCAGTGTTTAACCACACTGACAGGAAGGTTTTCCTAATGTCCAACCTAAACCTCCCTTGCTGCAGTTTAAGCCCATTGCTTTTTGTCCTATCATTGGAAGCCAAGGAGATCAATTTTTCTCCCTTCTCCTTGTAACACTCTTTTAGATATTTGAAAAAAGGTATCATGTGCCTTCTCACTCTTCTCTTTTCTAAACTAAACAAGCCCAGTTCTTTCAGTCTTCCCTCATAGGTCATGTCTTCTTGATTTTTAATTATTTTTGTTGCTCCTCTATGGACCTTCTCCAATTTCTCCACATCTTTCTTGAAATGTGGTGCTCAAAACTGGACACAAAACTCCAATTGAGGCCTAATCAGCACAGAGTAGAACAGAAGAATGACTTCTCGTGTCTTGCTCACAACACTCCTGTTAATGCATCCCAGAATCACGTTTGCTTTTTTGCAGCAGTGTTACACTGTTGATTCATATTTAGCTTGTAGGTCACTATGACCCCTAAATCCCTTTTAGTAGTACTCCCTCCTACAGAGTTGCTTCCCATTCTGTATGTGTGAAACGGATTGTTCTCTCCTAAGTGGAGTACTTTGCATTTATCCTTATTAAACTTCATCCTATTTGCCTCAGACCATTTCTCTAGTTTGTCCTGATCATTTTGAATTATGATCCTGTTCTCCAAAGCACTTGCAACCCCTCCCAGTTTGGCATCATCTGCAAACTTAATAATTGTACTCTCTATGCCATAAACTAAATCATTGATGAAGATATTGAATAGAACTGGTCCCAAAATAGACCCCTTCTAAACTCCACTTGTTATGCCCTTCCAGCATGATTGTGAATCATTAATAACTACTCTCGGAGAATGGTTATCCAGCCCATTATGCACCCACTTTACAGTAGATCCATCTAAGTTGTATTTCCCTAGTTTATTGATAAAAATGTCATGTGAGACCGTGTCAAATGCCTTCCTAAAGTCTAGGCATACCACATCTACCGCTTCTCCCTTATCCACAAGGTTTGATATCAGATCAAAGAAAGCTATCAGATTGGTTTGTCATGATTTGTTATTTACAAATCCATGCTGGCTGTTACCTATCACCTTATTATCTTCCTGGTGTTTACAAATTGATTCCTTAATTACTTGCTCCATTATCTTCCCTGACACAGAAGTTAAACTGACTGGTCTGTAGTTTCCTGGGTCGTCCTTACTTCCCTTTTTATAGATGGGCACTATACTTGCCCTTTTCCAGTCTTCTGAAATCTCTCCCAACTTCCATGATTTTTCAAAGATGATAGCTAAAGGCCCAGATACCTCCTCTATCAGCTAATATTTCACTTATATCTCCCTGGATGCGGATTAAGCTGCTTACTTCTTGTCCTCCTTCCAGAGTGCATGGAGAACAATAGATTACAGTCCTCTTTATAACAGCACTTAACATATTTTGAGACTGTTATCAGGATTCTTTTCTCAGTTAATCCTCATTACAAATATCTCAGACTGGACATTGAGTCATTATTGCATAGCTGGGCTGAAAGCCAAGTGCCTCTTATTACTTGAGATCTGCAGGCAATCCCGTGTACCCAAGAAGTGGGAGAGAGTGTTTATATTATCTTTGTTTTAATCAACAATTACTGTCATAATATTTAGTGGGAATAGATTAATTATTTTCCTAGCAGAGCTCCTGCTCTCCCCTTCTGATTTTTCACTTTGTAAAATTGGTCACTGTGTGTTCAGCCATCCCAACTTGCTAAACTGATGTAACATCCTACATTTCTCTGAAGTCATTATTTTATCATTCTGGAATATACTTGCATCGAAGTAGCTACCCTGCCTTCCCCCCAGATTTTCATATGACAATGCCTCCGAATATTAACTTTGACAAACTGGCTACTGGAATGTTGCATAGGACTTGTGAACTGCACTCTTATTTACCTTTGTAGAGAGGTAAATTATTGCACTCAATGATGTTTCAGAATGAGAATAACCAGATTTATCATACACAGCCATCAGGGTTCCATTGTGTGGAAGGCTCGGACTCTGAAGGAAAACAAAAAAAGCATGTTTGTGTATGGAAAAAATAAATTATACCCCAAATCCATTTATCATTGTGAAATCATGTAATTGTTCTTGCTGTTCTACCCTGAACTTGTGCTTTTGGGTGGTGTTTGTATAAGATTCCTTGTAACACTTCTCATTCTCACAAAACATAAGTGAACTTGAAACATTGGAGGCAGAATGTGTTCTGTGATACATTTCCAATATATCTTTAATGTCTTATTTCTAAAGAGTGACTCTTCTTAAAGCCCAGCACATTTCCCAAAGTAAACTAAGATTGGGATTAGCCTGGTCTCTCCAACATCTCTTTAAAAGAGAATATGGTGGACGCACTTTTCGAGCATGGGTTCCTTTAATGCAGGATTTGAACATGTTACGTAAAAGCTCAAAAATTGGCACTTAGGCACAAATATTTAAAGTTTTTAAAATAATTAAAAAGTCAATTTTTTTAGTCATTATCATCTTAGATACTGCAGTTTTATCCTATTCTCCCTAGAGGGAAATACTGTGGTGTCTCAGATACTAGTATGTAACTGTTAGCAATGTTGATTTTAATGATGGCCATTGTAATGTACAGGGAGAAATGCAGAAATTTGAGTTTCTTGTATAGTTGTTCACATCCAATATCTTATCAACATTTGTGCCAAGGAAGCCTTTTTTTGATTAACCTTGGATTTTGGGTATTTTTAATTTTTCAGTTTGTGTCTTTTACTAGTTACTAAGACAATTTACTGGTAAAATAAATGCCAGAGACAGCTTAAGCCATTCAAGTCCTTGGAGGTCAATTGCTGCTTAAGTCTGCTCCTATAACTAAAACTGTACAGACCATGCAAATCTCCCCTTCTCACCAAGACTTCAACTAAACTATGAGGAGTGTGTTTTCCTCTAACAAGTGGCAGCCCTTTCTAGGACAGATACTCAACTTCTGTTACAGTGGAATTTCATTTCGAGTTCTCTGTTTGTTCCAAGTTGATGAATAGGCTAAGGCATCCTCTACTTGTCCAAGGGTAGGGAGACCCTGCCAATAAATACTGTTTACTTATGGCAATTGTGGGTAAATCTTACAATGAATTACAAAATTTCCATTTTGTAATTATGCCTACTTGCAAGTTGGAGCCATCCAGTGTAAATTGTTGAAATGTTATCAAATAACAACAATAAGGATTTCATTTTACATCTATATAATCTTTCCCTTTGAACCTAGAAGTGACATTGGTAGTAAATTTAAAAAATGAACTTTTGTGTGATACTATCTAGGACAACAGTCTGTGACAGCTTCAACCATGATAAGAAGTTATAACATGAGAGATTTGTCTAACAGTGCGATACTCTAATCAGCATTTGCTTTACAGGGGAAGTGCTTCTTGAATCTTTCATCATGGTAGAAAAAGTCTCACTAAAAAGCATTGAGTTTAGAAAATTAAAAAATTTACTTTGAAATAAAACACGTACCAAAACGCCTATCCTTATAATGATTATACACGTTGAACCTCCCTAGTCCGGCACTCCTGGTTTGGCAACATCTGTGGTCCAGCATCATTTTAGTTAGCCAGATGTCCACTTACCATGGTTGAGGCCAAGTTTCCCGCAGTCCTATAAAGTTTGTTTACAACCACTAGTCCTGGCTGTCAGTGTCCCGTGCTGTAATTTAGCTCTAATTTATCCCTAAATGTCTTCTAAGAGTCCAGTAAACAGTGGAAATTTTGGTAATGCTGCTAGACAATATTGACCTCACATGGTTCAGTAAATTCTCTGATTTGGCACTGGTTAGGTCTTGAGGGTGCTGTACTAGAGAGGTTCAACCTTTAGGCTGTATCTACATTGGCATCCCTTTCCGGAAAAGGGATGCTAATGAGACACTTCGGAATTGCAAATCCGCGGGGGATTTAAATATCCCCCGCGGCATTTGCATTTACATGGCTGCCGCTTTTTTCCGGCTCGGGGTTTTTGCCGGAGAAAAGCGCCAGTGTAGATGCGATTTTCCGGAAAATAAGCCCTTTTCCGGAGGATCCCTTATTCCTACTTGAAAGCTCTTGTGGCGCTTTTCTCCGGCAAAAACCCCGAGCTGGAAAAAAGCGGCAGCCATGTAAATGCAAATGCCGCGGGGGATATTTAAATCCCCCGCGGATTTGCAATTCTGAAGTGTCTCATTAGCATCCCTTTTCCGGAAAGGGATGCCAATGTAGACACAGCCTTAGTGTATTACAAAGTGAACTAATTATCCCAAAGCTGATTGTGCAGGGTATCATTTCTTAATGTTAAGAGTTTGGGGTTTCCTGGCATTGTATTATGCACCAATGCAAAACACTTGGCATCTTTTTCAATAACAACATGCTACTTGGCATTACATATGATATATGGAGGTCACTGGAAGATTTTAGCAGGGGAGCACAAAGGTAGTTTGTAAGTATGACACTTCCTTTCAGCTGATTTTGTGTGGTTCATGATTTCAGCAACTTACCTTCATGAGGATGTATGTGCAAACGCCATGGAATCGGTATGACCTGGAATCAAATGTGGTGACAAAGGAGCCTCCTTCCAGGGAACATCTTCCTGGGCAGGGTAGATCCTTGCAATCCCACTGGCCCATTCTACACTTACTAGGGAAAACAAAAGTGTACATTAAATGACTAATACCAGTCTAGCAGGATTTGGTGCCACCATCTGGCATTTTTGTGATTCGTTGGCTGCCTGACAATGGCATGTCTGTGGACATATCTCCGTGCAGCAGCATGTTGAAGGTGACAGCCCTCGGCTCTTCCACTGTGGAAATCTGAGGATTAGTGAACTGATAACCGTGGATAATGATACATGCCATAATGAGTAGCCAATATGAGATAGTATATTTCATGTTCTAAACTTACATTTCTGCTATTTCCTGATTTTTTCCCCTTTGGCTATAAATGTTCACTTACTTATCAGGAAGGAAACATATAAAAATGTGTATATAGTTATTTTTCTCTGTGAATTTTTTGTCTTTTCCATTATCATTTGCTAAATATATTATTAGACACTATTTATCTCAATCTGTAGGTGATGAGACCTTTGTGTCAGGGTGTCCTCTTCACACAGGGTTGGAAGGAAGCAAAGTGGTAGAGTAGGTCAATTAATTCCACAGGCTGCACCTGGAGAAGTCAGGGGGCAGGGAGTGGAGTGAAAGCAGGCCCACTTGTGCAGGAACTCAGGGAATGGGCTACAGATATGGCTGCTGGGAAAGGCAGGCAGCAGTTACTCCCTGGGAAGATAGAGAGGGTTGTTGGAGCTGGTACACTGAGAGGCAGTGGGAACCAAAGAGTAGGAAGAAGTCCAGAGAAGGAGCCGGAGTGCAGAGAGAGGTAGCTCAGAACTGCTGAGCTGAGTGTCCGTGGACTGAAACTGGGTGAAGATGGAGGGCCTGGGTTCCCCTACCAAGTGTGTGGCATAGAATTTGGCAGCCACAGGAGAAGACTGCTTAGGAGTGCTGATGGACTGTTCCCTTCAAGGGGAGGACCTTAGTGACCTCGCCAGAGGGCCCAGCCACAAACAGAATGCAGCAGTTCCTGAAGCTGAGAGCAGGCTGCAGAGGGACACAGAGGGAGAAGACATCAACAGAGGGAAAGCATCAGCTGGCAGAGCTAATCCCCATGATGGCCAGCAGGAGGCACCACTGAGGTCAGTGAACCCTGTGACACCTTGGCTCTCCATTAGTCATGTAATTTCATTAATAAATCACCATTGAAAAATGTTGTACTGATAGTGCTGGAGACCAAATTCCTTTCTTTCTCCATAGCATAGATTCAGCATGGGAAACAGTACAGCAATATTCTCCATCTTGAAACATCACATTATTAAAACACTTCCCTAGTGGTCAATGGGGAGTTAAGTCTGCATGGCCCATTCAGTGCTTAATGTGTCTCTGTTCAGATTGCCAGCAAAATGGGCTATTAGTGATAACTCTGGTGATAGCTCTTGTAAATTTGCACAGTATAAGGCAGAGTTTTTTTTGTACACACAAATCAAGAAATCAGACATACATTACTTTGTCAGCAATTGCAGTTGTAGGATTCTGAGTGTTCAGAACAGATGTGTGCACAGATGATGTAAGCACATTTGTGGCTGTCCCCTGAGAGTCTGTGCCACAACTATGTCAAATTTTCCAGCCACTTGGTAAGGATGCTTTCTATGCTTTTTTTCAGAGAAACTTGCCACCACTCACCAGGTTCTGCATGTTGCTTTCATGGTAGCACCAGGATCATATCTCTCCCCATTCAGAGTGCATGGGCACTGGTTAATGGAAACACAAGTTCGATTTTTTGAGATGTCGTCAAGAACAGTGCCTGTCAAGAGAAACAAATAAATTAGGTAAATACATTTTCGGTCGCTTAGCTACCACTTAACTCCTCAGCACTCAGAGCTGTAATGTTATATCCCCTGTGTACCATGCCTTGCAGAGACAACATTTCTGAGAGTGATATTTCTGCTCAGCCTTTTGTCCAGACTCAAGCGTATTATATACAGTGTGCTGAGAGTCTACAAAGAATGAGCGGTGTTGATCGCTCATTGGGAATGAATTAGCCTTACATTCAGGGGTGCCAGGTTTGTAGAAATGTTGGTGTGCCCTGAATGTCCAGAGCCTGCTCCTTGCCCCCGTCCAAAATGCCCCCCATACACACACTTGCCTCAGGCTCTGGGAGAGAGTTTGGGTGGGGAAGGGATAAAGGCTCTGGGCTGGGGCATGGCACTGCAGTGCAGGAGAGGGTGCAGCGTGCACTATCTGGGAGGAGGCAGAAGGGGTGACATGCCTGGCACTTTGAAGACATTTGGGTGCAGGAGGGAATGAGGGATCAGATTCTTGGAGGGAATATGGGCGTGGGAGGGGATCTGGGGTACAGGCTTTGGGACAGAGTCTGGGTGCTTGGGTGCAGGCTCTGAGAGGGAGTCTGGGGGCAAGAGGGGTGTGAGGGAGGGGAGTGTGCTGGAGGGAATTTGGGACAGGAGAGGTAGGGCTGTTGGGAGGTGAGGGCAGGGTGTGGCACCTACCTGGGGCACCCCCCTATGGCAGCAGAAGGTTGTGGGGGGGGGGTCTCCACATGCTGCTGCCTGAAGGCATTATCCTCTGCAGCCCCCATTGGATGCAGGGGCACTCAGGGTGGGAGCAATGCATAGAGATACCCCCATCCCAGGACCATAGGGATGTACTGGTAGTTGCATGGAGCGAGCAGGCATAAAGCTGCTGGGGATAGAGGCAGAGGTCCCCAGGCTCAGTTAAACCACTTGGGGGGCTGCAGGTAAGGCCAGGGAAGAGACCCAATTCCAAACTTTGTTGGTGCTGAGCTTCCAGACTAGGAATATTCCTGGAATCCAGGCACTATGGGCCCATATAACTTGCCCATCTGCTTATAGTTTATTGCTGAAATTTCAGGAAATACTCCACAATAATGGTGATAAATTAAATTTTTGTAGAACAGTTCAACCTGAAGTATGCTCGAAGCTTTTACCAATTGTGCACAACATACCACAATCTCTCTCTTCACCAGTGAAATGCAGCCACTTCTGGCATCAAACATGGCAACTGTCTTAACAGCGCATGACACCACTACATACAAGATTAGCACAACAAAGTTAATGGTATCCAATCCAATTTAAACTATTGGAGGAAACTTTAGTAAGAAGGGTAAAATTATCCCATATTGGACAGTTACTTCTCTATTCTTGCAGCAAGTGCCAAGTGATCTTTAAGGATGCCAAAGGGTCAGGACCTCAGTTTTTATATCTCATCTGAGAAATGGCCCTTCCAGCACCATAGTGCCCTGTATCACAATGTAGTGTATTAATTTATTGGACTCTTTCTACTTGCTTGACAGGTACCAAAACTGTGAGCATGAATGATTTATGATGAAATTAATATTAGTTTTATAGTGATACTTTACCTTCTGGGCAGAAACAACCATATGTACAGTAACTGGAACAGCTGTAATCTGGGTTGGAGCAAGTTTTAACACAGGAAGAACCACACTCCTTGTAGATTTGGTTAGCTGAACATTTTCCTACAGCTGCAATACAATGAACAGTATTAAGGCACCTTTCTAGGTAGGAATGAAGGAAAACGTCTCACAGGCCATAGAGACTAGAGATGAGTCTCTCTCCTGCCCTCAGAGTATCTGGCACTTCTGTTAGCACAACCACCTTCACTCCCCATCTGTGAACACACCATGGCCCAGACACCCACTTTATTCATTTTTCATTCTTTAGCTCAGACTTACCAGAATCCACATATTCCAGACAAAGGCTTAGAGATCAGATCACCTTTTCTGAATGCACCCTACACTTATAGGTGTCAGACCCCAGAAACGAGACACACTTCTGAAAGATGAGCCTAAGGTCCCCTATATCCGTGCCAGGCAGGGAGAGTGATAGCAGGTTATACCCGTGTACAATAAAAGCCATAGGTGTGCATTTTTAATAGTGCTCATCTGATTTAAGGAACAGACTTGTTACTTTTCAGTGGGGTATGTGCTCCAAAGTCACTTAGGAGCCTTTGAAAAAAATCCCACCCTTTATCATTATTAACATACAGAACAGGGAACATATAAGTGTTTCATGTGACAACTAGTAGGATTCTCCCGTCAAGAAGTGGAAGAAAAATGGGAGAAGGAAGAATTAAGATTAGCACTGGAATTTTAAGCAAGAGATCATCTACCGCCTTGCACTTTATGTAGACATTCTTCCTAGCAGAATGGCTGCAAGTCTCATTTCATAACATTTCACACCCATTGTGCCCAAGTGCAAATTACTATGAAAAGGTGCAGGGCAGTGGATAATCAGATCTCACTGTTTTCAGAGATTCTGGCACTTGTTTTTTGAAGCCTGATATTCTTATTTCCTAAATTACAAAGATTTGTTTTTTAACCTTTACTCTGAATATCCTCACTTTATATTTTTTATAACTACAAGGTCTAGTAATATTTCTTTAAGTTGATGGCCTGCTCACAATACTAACATTGTCATAAAAATGGGTAGACTGGGGATACTATTTTAGTATGAGTAATGAGCATTATTATACAGCGTTGTACAGTGCCTTACAAATATCGAGTGGGACAGGTTTGCTGCCCTAAGGCATTTACAATATATGACAAACAAAACTGGGATGCTAATTTGTGACTGGGGAGAGAATATTGAAGGGATAAAGAAGAGAACAATTCCAAGAAGGGAGATTTAGAGAAGTGGAAGGGGGAGGTGGCACTTGGCATGCAGGAAGCAGGAGATTTCCCTGAGCACAGGAGGAAGCATGACAGAAGGCAGAAAGCCAAAAGTATAACAGAGATGGAGAGCAGCAGTACATGAAGACAGGGAGGAGTACAGGGAGTGAGAGAAGAGATGGATATGAGATCAGAGGTGTAGGCAGGACAAGATGATACAAGGCTTCAAATGTGAGGATAAAGAATTTGTGATAAAACATTGGAAGTCAAAGAAATAATGGATTCAGGAATATAATTCTGTTTGGATTCTATTCATCCCCCTTCTAATGTTAAATACCAAATGATGTTGACGTCACAAGTAATAGTAAGGAGCAAGGAGAAGGATGTTCCTGGTACTGCAATTTATTTTATTAATTATCCACTGATGAAAGAAAATGACCATATAAATACATAAAAGGTAAACAGAAATATGGTTAAATAATGTTTTAAAAAGACAGCCTGATATTATGAAAGAACATTTGGAACGAATCTCTCTCTTGGCATTCATTATCTCTCTTATAATTTAATATGTGTTGATTGAGAAATAATAATCACTTCCAGTTAGCCATCACTTGCATTTGTTCAGAACTTCAGAGATTCAGCCAGATTTTAAGGGATTTCGTAAACAGGTACTTCTGTGTGTCTGCTGGTGAGGTGCTGCTTTTGGAGTGGTCTGCAACGCAGCTCTGAAATCAGCACGGAAGTAAGGGTTGCAATTCTATGACCCCCTTGAAATAACTTATGGCCCCTCTCTGCAACTCCCTTTTGGGTCAAGACCTCCAATTTGAGAAACAGTAGTCTCCCCCAGTAAAATCTATATGGTATAAGATAAATGCACACAAAAGACCAGATTTCACCAAGAGAGACAACAGGGTCAATCACCTGGAAGTGGGATATTTAGGAGTAATTTAACTCCCGTGAATAATGACTTTTTGGTCTCACATTCATAACTTTATTTTCCCCCTTGTCTTTTATCTCCTTCCCACTGTAAGACTGTCAAGGTCTGTAGGTTCAGAGCAGTGGAAGATTTTGAACTGCCAGGTGCTACAGCTGTGGCACCTTAAACATTTGCAAATAATTTTGAAGGTTGTTTGG